AAGCGGCCCGGGCGCTAATTCGAGGATCATGTATGGTATATGGGAGTACCCCCTCCGGGAGTGTGGACTGTGCCTTAGGCGTATATTATGTTTATTGTGTAATGGACTTTTTTTACCGATTTTTCCATTCAAACAAAAAAAATAAACTTCACCACTGGATTCATCATGCCAAATTTAGTAAATGTGTCAGGTTTCATAAGCAACGCTTTGTCAAATTTGACGTGGTAACTTCGTGAATGCTCGTGTTATTTCTGATTGGACAAAAAAATTGGAAGCTTTCCTGGAACTTCGACAAACTGAAAGATGTGACACGACTCCAGATTTAGACAAGGAAACGGTATACTAGAAACCAACAGACCACAATGCCTTTTAATCGCTATATGAGAATCACATATTGGCAAACTATATGTATAACTATCTCCTTACTCTTTCCGGTTGCTTTATAAGATTACAAGCAAAAAGCGCGAAAACATTAAGCCTCATGAAGTCCAGAATAAGTATCGAAAGCTCGAAACTAATGTTAAGTATTGCGTCTTTTTAAAATAATTTTAATAATTAACTGCATGACTTACATCATTTCTCCTGCGTAAACAATAAGCATTAACCCCACCGTAGCAGAAGTAATAAATTCTAACATTTTGGACTGCGTGGGTTTCATTCGGCTCACGGTTGACGAGGGGCGAAGCCGAACTTACCATCTACATCGATAGAAACCGAGAGAAAACAGTCAAAGTGTTTCAGCATAACTCAGTGGCTAATCTTTTAAAAGAGAATATCAATTAAAAACTGATTCGCTGACAGTTTTGTTTCAATTGATACTCATCGGTAATGATGCATGAAAAAACTACGCGCTTATTTTAAGGGTCCGTTAATTTAAGGCGTGGCTCTACCTAAAAATGTGCCCCTTTTTGCAAAGTTGTCACAACCCTGATTTTCATCAGAACCCTAACAAACTACATATCACTGAAAAGCTAGTTGCTTGCAAATTGCAAAAATGTATATTTCAATGCTGTGTCAATTATTGTAACTTGACACCGGGCTCTCAAAGTATCACATGCT